CCAAACATCCACGTTTCAGGTTTTTGTGTAGTAGCCTACAAACTGGGTTCGGTCACGTGGTACTCCACAAAGCAAAAAGATGCGCACTTCCGATAAGCTGCATAAAGAGCAGTTCTTGAGGCGAACCCCATGGAATGGATACCCAGGACGCTTTTTCCGCTCTGGAAGACCTCATAGGGATCTTGTTACCACTATCTTAAAGAAAGGGAATTTCCAGGAATCGCCATTCTTACGGAATTTCACATACTAATGAAGAACCAGAAGTCTTTCTGGTTCGCAGTTTGTGGACCACACACAAAACCACAGATCTGCTACCTCAAGGTATCCAGTATCACCTATCACTTGCAATCACCTATTGGTATAACAGATCGCCATCTACCTCAAAGGTTTTTTTGGGAAAAATAAACTATCTAATATGTCCAGTCCGGCGAAAAACGCTTTCATAAAAGGAGTGCACAACATTTCAGGCTGACAAATTAATCTGGATATATGTAGCTAATATCTCCTACTGCAGTCAACACAGTGAGCAAAAATTTAATTTAACTTACCAAGGAAAAGATTGACTTTCACCATAAGTCTCAACGTCACCTCACTCAACATTTGTTCCCAAAAGTGGCACCGATGATCGCCGATCCCGGCTGCGCACTCATATAACTGTCATCGCTAAGAATCTGTTTTACCTGACAAAATGGTGGTTATTTTCATTCATATGAGTTGAGGGACTTGTTTTGAGTCCGAGGATGGCGATAGCCTGGGGTTCATCCCGGATATTTTGATCTTGGTGGCAGATGGACTGAATGAGCTGTTAGAGTATTCCACTAGACTTCAAGAGGTACACACACTTTTGGAACCCTACACCGTATCCCACACCTTACTGGGAGGTCTTACGCAATAATAAGATACATTTTCATCATTATACACTTACATACACTTACATTATACACTTACGCCTAGTAAAGTGAACACATTAGGTTCCGAGACAGAATATTTATTGCATAACGCCTCTGAGAGGCGCCTTCGCGGAAGCTTCTCTCTTTATAAGATGAAAAGATTCTGGGTTATACCAAACACTTTCTTGACCGTCGTCCCAACAGAAAGTGGGTCTCTGATACGCTCCTTGAGCCCAGTCGTGCCAAATCCTTTCTTTCTACACCAATCTTAATAGTATGCCTGCAGATACTTCGGTTTACACTACCCACTTTGGCTATACATCCCTAAACGACATTTCCCTCCGGGTTTCATCCAGAGCAGCTTACGTGAACTTGAATCGCCAATGTCGTAGGCGTGACATCTGGTCATCTGTCAAGGGTCGAGCTTACAATACCACATTGCGTCCCATTTTGTTATATGAGTAAAAAACCTGACCTCTGCGTGCTGGGAATCCTGGAAACTTTCAGTTTTTGACCTCAGTGTCTTAAGAATATCGCTTTATTGCTGATTGCAGATTTAAGTGAGACGTTTGTAACATTCTGAGGAAACCATTATTGTCCGGTAGATACCGGGTGACAACAGCAGTTTTGAACCAGTGATCTTGCCTGGGAGGCTTGTTTAGAGCGAGCATTGTGATATGTGCCCAACTTATGGTAGCCAAGAAAACAAACATGAATAGACATAACTATCCATTTCGTACACTGGTGGTGTTATTTTTGTAGAGGGGAACTGAAACTCCGTACGGAATCCACCCTCAATAGCCGTGACATTACTATCCACCTGATATTTTCGAAACTAGCCGCAGCCAGTCCCTCAGTTGGCAAACATTCTTGAAGACACACGTAATTGATAAATACCTTACTGTTCTGCAGTAAGTCAGTGGAAGCATTTCAGAATGATAGGTATTTTTGTTACTCATCTAGAGAAGCTACGAAGTCAGGGAACCTGCCAATCATTTTTGTCGCCCTGCATTTGCTTTCCTTAGGTTTACACACAATGGTTGAACAGGACGGAGACCGATAATTCATGGAATGATCCGCTCATTCAACTGGCTGGATTCGAACGAGTCAAACTAGATGTTGGGGAATACAAACAATTGAAATTCACATTGATCCCGTCGGAGCACTTGGCAGTCTGGTCTCTTTCGGAGAACACGATGATACCTGGTCGGGGTGTTCTACAAATTTCCATCGGCGGACAACAGCCGAATCAACGTATCTCAGTCGGATCAAACGTATTGTCCGCTTCACTAGAAATCCTCTAATATCCATTTTGAGATTCTCTTGAACTCCAGTAACGAACGAGTTTTTTTGAATGTCCATAACTCTTCGCTCATTGCATAATCATAGTAGATGTCCTCCATGCAAATCTATTTCTCGTCGCTTTGCTTTTAAATACGGTTTTCTGTTATCAAGCTTTGTTCTTGAGAGTCAAACACATCAAGATTCACTGCGCTATTATTTCGTCCATCACTGTTTCTGAAATTTATATATTTTCACTAACACCCGTTAAGCTACATCCAACTTGTCCTCCCAGAAAATACTTTTATAATTTGGATTGACGAAGACTAGAATTTCGTCGGTCTTCAAGGGACAATCTTCGAATTTTTTGGCAGAGTAGTATGAATCACCGACGTGCGTTTGATCCAAGGCCCTTAAAATTGTCTGAATTGTACTTTTTGGTGCAATGGATACCTTGTCTGAACCTCGGAATCCCAACTCAGAGTGGCGTAGACAGAGAGGGGGCCAACCCTTGACTCGGCAGAGAAGTATGAAGGAGATCACGAAACGCTTGGGTTGTAGCAGTACTACTCGCCTTCCAGGATAGGGACTGCGTGATTCTCATTGCGCTTGTTTGGTGACACTGCAAGATATGGTTGCCAACTGATGTCAGTGGCGTTCTTGTCGTCAGTTTCTATCCAGATTGCCTGAGTGAATGTCTGGAGGTGTAGACACCTCGGAATGATTGTGATAAGCTAGCACTAAGTCCCTTCCCTGTCCACCTTTACTCTTTTCTTTACAATAAGGCTTCCAAATAAATCATGGTTGTACGGCAGTGAAGCACCGGTGTTGAGCACTGATATCATGCTGTCGATGATGATGATGTCTCAAGCAGCTTAATAAGGATCTTTACGGTATACCACTCCAGTGCATCAGTTAATTTGATGCTAAGGTCTATCGTTTGGAAGTTGCTTGAACCTTTGCACGCAGTCACTGTTCTTTGGGATAACTACTTCTTTCTTCTGTCGACCTAAGTAATCACGATAGTATTCGCTTGTTCTAATTAATTTGACACTCCTCCCCGACAGTGAAATGTTTAAAGTTCATCATTGTTAGAAATTCAAAACCGTGGTTTCTTTGCTTCCGCTGATCGAACCTTATAGAAATCAATTTACCGCTAAGAATGAACCCCCATGTCAATTTTGAAATCGATCCATTCTCTAACAGATTACTGTCCTATTAACTCAGTGGTCTATTTGATAAGTCAACTAGGCTGCAGTAACTGCTGGATTGTTCCCTACTTTCTCTGCAATGCAAAACGACTGTTCGAAACTACTTATCTGTTTATCCTTCTGTTGTTACCTTAAGGGAGTTTCACCTTTGTCTTGATACTGAACACTTGGAAATGAGGTGGTGAAATCGTGGCCGCGTTTACTTGCGCGGTGGCGGATATCAATTAAGCACTGGATGGTTAAGTAAATCCTCTATTTGGAGGACAATTTGGCCGCTGAGATAAACATGTTCGAGAAAAAAGCGACAGACGTGTTCGATGACTTTAAGCTCGGGGATGCATGAATGCTATTTTTCTTCATTCATCTCACAAGAAATATGGGACGTTCCTCCCAGTTAACATCCAGCCTCACCAGGTAGCACTATTCACTTGACACAAGGTCCACAGTTATAGTCGTATAGCTTGGGACTAATCAAAAAGTAGTCGTTCCGAAACGCAAAAAGGTCTGTGAATTCACTACCTCCCGAAAAGATGACTTGTCAATCAATTCTAAACGATTGTCGGTTGATAGGATAACATTACCTACTTCGATTGATTTATACCAAATCACCGCTGTGAATATAAGTCTAGAATGGCACCAGTACAAAATCAATAGCTTAGTAGTAGATAACAGATTAAAATCCAACGCGCAACTATTCATATTTGATAAAACAGTGAATATGGAAGTACCTGATTTCAGTAGCTGATAGCCATATATAAATTTGTGCATCGTGTAAGACTGCTTATTTCGTGGCAAGAACATTTGAGATACTGCCCGTCCGAAGTGATATTACCGGGCACGTCAAAATGCATGGTGAACTCTACGACACTTCCCCGGCGAATATGGTGCAGTTGTCTCTCCAAACTGGGCTGAGAAATCCTTTTAATGTTACCCAAAAGAGAATTCCTTAAAAGCTTAAAGTATTCGTCTCCCGTGTCGCCTTTGTGCTATGCACAAGAACATATGAGCGGTTCGCATAGTAGAACCCAAACACAACCACCAACCCTCCCCTACGCACTGATGACGTCACCTCGATTGTTGATGAAGCGTTTGCAACCAAATTGCCCAGCTCAGAGAACAAGGCAACCACCAGCTACGCTACCTGAGCTACCGACATTCTCCTCTATAGAAAACCCAAATGAGTCTCCGTACTGAGACCACCACAACCACCAGCATTAAAGCGATTTGTTGTGTTAGCCCGTGTGCCCAAATTTGCTAGGAGTTTTGACCACTCGAGCACAACCAAGCGTTTTGTTAGGTTTTTCACGATCCTTGTGCCAGACCTAACAGGTACCAGGCCTGTGACCGATTTGAAGTGGTTATTTGCTAGTCAGGATGTGTCCACAACCTGCCCTACAACAATGTATCAGCATATCCCCACAAGAGGAAGGAATGATTACCAAGGAGGACGTCAATGCAAATGATATACAAGAATAATGCTCATTTTCAGTCGATTTATCTGTTGGAGTTGCAGAAAACTCAATGTTTGTGGTTTACTTAACAGGGGCTTAGTGATTGCTCATTTGCTCCCATGGTAACATTTCTTAATCGAAGCAGCATATCCCCGTTGGAGGCACTGACGTTCAGATAGTCTGTCTATCATGTTTTGTTTATATCCTTCAAACCAAGCATGCCATTGACCGATCCGAAGCATCTAGGCGACATTATGGTTAAATTCATCGGCTTTACTCAGCGAAACCGTTTTGTTGCACTCTCATGAGTGCAGAACTGGTTCTAGTTACCCCAGATGAATGGCATTAACACCGCTCAAATACCATATGAACGCATTACAGGATTTGCTCAAGGATGCCACTTTCCGCCAACTGTCAAATTAGCTCACACACTCACTACACTCAGACTAACCACCCCCTGATTGAGCTCATCTCTACAGCCACCGGGCGGGGAAAGAACCAGTCACCAAATTTAGTGGAGCTATAGGGTCACACACTACTCGAATATCCAGCCAAACACTTTTTCGAATACATGCATAAAAGATTGACTGTCATGCAACTAACTCACGGTTGGGATGTCATACTTAGCCAACCAAACCAGTTAAACGGTCGATTGAATGTGTAAATAGTTGATGGAACTACTTGGCATCCAATGAGGCGACATAATACAGTCACATTCAGCCAACCCACTCAGTGTGTCCAGTGGGAGCTACAAGTCTCAGGAGCCGGGAAAATAGAAAAGTGTTTCGCAGAAACTATAGATTTTTTCGATGATGAGATGTTTTGGAAATCATAAGTCCAGGCTGATTGCGTAAACACGTTGCCTACAAAAAGTCTGGTGAGACGTAAGAGCAAGCCTACCTAAAAGAGGGTCTCACGTCAGTGCGAGTGCGCAGACTTATTTGTGACTTCAATTTCAAGGATAGAACACCAACTCACACCAGAAGCATGTTGGTGCACTCAATCTCTTGTCGCTATGTTGTGGAATACATTGGACGGATTATTAGATGATTAGCCCAAAAAATGAGCGAACCCAATCCACTTTTGTTAGCTACTGAAACTAGGAGAACGATGAGCGACCCAATCGTACAGAATCTATCAGGCACGGCGCACAATACGGCAACTAGCCAGCGTCCACGTTGATTGAAGATGCTTGCTAATCAACTTAAATCGGTAGAGCACCGTTCCATTGCATGGGCCGAAGCTATAGACATCCGATATCACGACCCGATTCTTTGTTGTCCAAAACGTCTTGTTCATGTGTTTGACCTAGTATGGTTCATATTTTCTTCCCGTACATGTACATCCGGTGCTGGACACAACCGTTGCGGAGCTTGCATTGGCAACCTCGGGTGATTCTATTGGTAACTTGCACTAAATGTCCTCTGGCAGCTGGCCAGTACTGTTTCTTCCACTCTTTTTGTCCACTCTCATAAATGACTTTTTCATTTCACTATTTAAATTTCGCAAGTAGTTCATATTTTTGGTAAACGTGGCTTCGACGCTCCCTAAAAAACGCATGCAGAACCACCTGTCTTTCCGTGTAAGTCGTCCGTGGTTGTGTCCATATTTAACTCCGATTCTTATGACATACATGTGTGCCTTCTGGACACATTTTGCCGAGTTTTCATGAACATCAAAACTATCTGCTTTCTTCTGAGACCATTCAATTTAGTGCTGAAAGTGCAGACCCAGATACACCCACACGAAATACTCATAGTCCTACGCACTAAAAACCAACCGGCGTCAAAAACAACACAGTAATATGGAGTTGAATAGTGTGGACTTACTTTTTAGGCCTCTATGACGTCACCAGGAGCACCTTGGCAGTCTGTTTGGTGGAATTTCCTGCAAAATCTGACCCATTCCTATAGCCTAAGAGTTATTGGGTCTAGCAGATCCAGTATATCGAAACTGCTGTGAGCGTGTGCATGAGGATTGAGACCTGGTGTTCTACCGTCCTTGTCCTCTGGCCATTCCAGTTTTCTAATGCTAAGTAGACCAGAAGTTTTCGTCGTTGATGAATAGCATTTTGTGGGTCAGTGCAGGAATTTGAAAGTTCAACTTAGATGCTTGGTGATTTCCACCGCCCCCACCATCAGCTGCTATGGTGTGAACCGCGGTGTTCGTCTTGAACCTTCTACATTCTCCAGGTCTGTCCTATGTCAGGTGTCTAAAACATGTACCACCATCGCTGAGTTCTTGGCCAGCGCTTGTTTGTGATCCACATTCCTTGGTGGTTTGCTTATCCTTCTCTTATGCTCGCCAATTCTGGATGTTTGTCCTTTTAGAAACTTCGGTGAATTGTTATTTTCAATTTTATTCACAGTCTCTATTCCTTTAAACGGCCAAAATAGAGAGAATTATCTATAGGATCCCTTTGTGGTAAACGAAGGGCAAGTGTATCTCATATGGGCATGAATATCTTGTCGATCGCAGTCGGTTTTAAAGTGTAAGCCGTAAGGTGTAGTGAGGTTGTAACAATGCATAAAGCCTTTCAAGTGATGTGCCTAATCAGTTCGTTGGGTGATAGAAGCTTTTTGTGTCCCGGCACGAGCCAAGTCACCGAGTGACAATCACTT